GTAATGCCTTGAGAACCAAAAAAAAAATTATGAGTGAAAGAACCAAGGCTTTGACTTTGAACTAATTGCGGTAAAAATTTCTACAAAAGTAACACAGATATGTTGACATTTTCTGAATAAATTCCCGATTATATGTTTTTTCCCAACTTTAAAATGAAAAATATCGCGAAACTATGAAGTGATGTTTTTTGAAGATTTCATTCGTTCAATGAATGGCATGTAGTTGATTTGATTCTCATCGTAATGAAACACTTGCAACGGAATTAGAAGGGACTCTCGGAGGGGAAATCGTCTACAAACGCGAATTTAGCGGATAACATGGTTAAGTTGGCTGACGGCGTGATATCTCATGGGCAGGGTGGCTCAGCGATTACTCCGCGTACCCATACCGCATTTTCGATTTGTTTTCCTCCAGGTCTGACTCATTTTCGCCTGCATCAATTATAACTGCAGTAACTACGCTGCAGTTTCGATCGTATGAAATGCAAATCGTGTCCAAAACACCTTCAACGTATAACTTAGTGAAATGTACTTTATTAAAAACTTGCGATTCGTTAAGCCAGAACGACAACATTCGGAATGGAAAATGAATGGAGATCGAATGATACACTAAGTGCTATTTACTTGAAGTGCTTAGATATTACACTGGATGGAGATTGTTAGAAGGATAGTTGCACAGGAATGAGAAATCAAAAAATCGTGATGATAAAGCATGACTATATTGGAGCTAGGCACATTATAGATGCAGACTAACATATACTAAAATATGGAAGCAACTGCATGAACCGGTTGGAATACGTACTTAAAATACGGATATTATTTAAAGCTTACCTGGATATGTACAATATTCAGCAGAAACTTCTGTATGAAAACTAGGCACAAACACTATTCTCAAAAAAGAAGTAGTAGTAAAACGAAACGAAGAACAACATACAAGCTACGAGAACAAAGGTGCAACTGAAATCAAAAACATCATAGTAACTCCAGCAATGTATAGGGACCACCATCCAAATAGTGACCAGGTGGAAGCGGAAAAGCTGAAATTGACTTGGAGTGCTGAGCTTATACATTACGAAGTTCTCAATGTAAATATGCTTTCAAGTAGATTGGC